AACAGGGAAATTAAACTTTAAAAATACATTGTTAAAAAGTTTCCGAACCTTTAATCCTCCATTCACACCTGAGCGTTTTGTTGATTGAAGCTCAAAGCCCCAAAACGCTCAACAACCTTTTAAATTGTCCCTGTTCACAATTGAGCGATCAGGTGCCTGTAGACTAACGCTTGAAGCACGCAAAAGGTACATGAGCTACTTTGGAAGCAGAAAGGGGAGTTTTGGGACAGAATTACTTCAGTAGGAGGGCACAAAAAATGCATGTTATGTACAATTTTAAGATGCTTCCATAATTAACACCTAGATGTGAACAATCTTGCCTTAAAGAAGCTCCTCTATGGCTCTTTACTCATAAAAATGCACAAAGAAAGCAGAAAAAAACACTAAAAAAAACCCCCAAAAAACCCCAACCCTCAAGGCTAGTAATGACGCAAAATGCAGAAACTATTATACTGTGGAACTTGCAGAACAGTCACAAAAACCCATTGGGGAGTATAGACGACGTGGAAGTCAAAGTCGATAAAGCGGAGAGTCAGCAGTAGAGCCGAAGACAGCACCTGCGGAGGGAGGTGGAGTCCGACATAAGAGGGAGCGTGCGGAAGTGTAGACATAGTCCCTGACCTTTTCCTACTCCTCCGGAATCTCCACCAATAGTTCTGTCTCTGACAGATGGGGTATCTCTCCCTACACTAGACACTTTGCAAATGCATGCCAAAACCTGGGGGCAGGCACTTAAAAAGGCTCTTTCTGGCCCAAGATGGCCACCAGAGTCACCTGGACACAGCGTAGCCAACCGGAACATTGCTCCTGGGGACTGAGGAAACCATAGATAAACCAAGTTTCTCATGACTTCTCCAGCTGCAGTACCACTCCGGTTGAGCGCCACCTACAGTGGAGAAAGCAGACTGCACCTGCCTACACAGTACTCTTCAGGCTCTGCCTTTTTATGCCATGCCACACTAGACATTTTCATTCCCGCCCTCAGGTCATGGTGTCCTGACTCCAATATTAAGCCCTTCCCACTGCTGTCCATGCTGGGCGGCTGGTAGTTACTGGGTTCACATAAAAAATTCTGCAGAAAAAATAATGAAGCTCAGCTTATGGCCAGGGGCGGACTGACAACTCATGGGGCCCCCGGGCAATAGGGGATCATGGGGCCCCTGTGTCCTTGCCCAAACTCAAAAAAGCCTATGAAAAAGGTACCAGAGGCATCTCATGGGGCCCCCTACTGACCCCGGGCCCTCGGGCAGTGCCCGAGTTTCCAAATGGTCAGTCCGCCCCTGCTTATGGCCAAAGCAGGAAAAATATAAGCACAGTGACTATTATGTGTTGAATTAATTCCATTTAATTCCATCTTGGACAATCCCTTTAAATATTTTTTCACGTGCGTCTGGATTCAGAGCGCCAATAATATAATTTTCTAAATTCCAACTCACTTGAGGAGGTGCACACCTTACTTTGATGATTTAATTCTCATTATAAAAATATCAAAGCCCCATAATGCACTGCACCGAGAGACCCGAGTTACACGGGACTATATTGCGTGTTTGATGTGCTTGGCTGGGAAGAGGTGAATCTTTGACTCCTGTCCTGCCGTAATCTCCGAGTTTAAAGGAACCCAACTGCTAGTAAACACAAGAAACAAGACAGGCAAGATTAAACACTTATCAAATATGTTCTCTCTGTTTTGATTCAAAGACAAGGAGAGAGAACTCGACGAGATAAAGCGCCAACGATTCCTCCTATTTATCCCAATAAACGGGCCTTACCGTTGACTTCAAGGAAGACGGCAAGAAAGAAATTGAAACAGAGGGAAAAAAAAAAAAACAAAAAACGGAACGCTCTCGTTCTCCGTCTTTCATTTCATGACATGTGTTTTGTTTGGCGTTTTTTTTTTTTTTTCTCCCTAGTACTTAAAGGAATTTTTTCCAGCGAGTTAGGGAGCATCATTAAATAAAGACTGTGAAATGTGCAATATGGCTTATTTATTTAAATGTTAATTGGTTCGACGAACACTTCTAATTAGCTCTATATTTGCTTAGCAAAAAGTTTTACAAATTCCAATTGTGAAAAGCGTCTATTTGGCGGTGGCGTTTGCAGCCTCAGCTATGATTTTTTTTTTTTAACTCCTCTTTCTATACTTCTCAGCCCTTGAAGGCACAATTTAATTTTTCATGTGTGCGTACCAGCAGCGGTAAACACTTGCGAGTGTAAAGAAGATTCCTTAATTAGCTGCACAACAATTAAAGGATTCACAAACTAAATTGAACCTTGTCTCTGTGCTTACTAGCTGAATTCTACCACCTGTCACAACAGCGTTTTATTCAATCTGTTATGCGGAATCATTATAGCGCTATAACTGAAGGGAAAAGACGGGGAGAAAACAGCAATTATTGCCAACGTCGCTCTCTTCAATGGGTTATTTTGGGTTTCCGTTGATGTCAGGTTCATCGGCGTTAACCTCATGCTAATGTGTATGTACAAGAACGTGATACGTATGGAGCGGTCTTTAAGTCCCGGGAACAATATTTAGCCTCAACCTTATATCAACAAGACATAGCTGTTAACTCTGCCACCTTCTGCTGTCGTTTGTAAGAGAGACGTTGGCGTTGGCCTGCTCTTGTTTTCCCGTTTGGTTTGCTTTCGTTTATAGGCGGTAGATAGACATCGGAAGACACTGGCTCAGGTCAGTTCACTAAATTATATACATGTATTTCAGGATCCTTGGTGGTCTGAGAAGTGGCGTGAGTTTTGTTTTGCCGTGGGTTATGGAGAATGTGAAGTTTGCAAGGTTTAGGTTGAATTGGAGAAGACAATGGGTGCATGTGGTCATGTTCAATCCAGGCCATTTTCCGGTCATGAGATCATTTGTCATCTAAAACTATGGCGCCCAACCGGGAGCCACATGTGACCCTTTGGCACTTATTGTGTGGCCTTCAAAGCCTCTGCAGACAGTTTTTATTATTATTATTATACAGGATTTATATAGCGCCAACAGTTTGCTCAGCGCTTTACAATATAAGGGCAGCACAGTGGCTAAATGGTTAGCACTCCCGCCTAGCAGTACTGGGGTCGTTGGTTTGAATCCCAACCACGGCACCACCTGGCTGGAGTTTGCATGTTCTCCCTGAACCTGCGTGGGTTTCCTCTGGGTATTCCAGTTTCCTTCCACACTCCAAAGACATGCTGGTAGGTTAACTGGCTCCTGTCTAAATTGCCCCTAGTATGTGTATGTATGAATGTGAGTTAGGGACCTTAGATTGTACACCCCTTGAGGGTTAGGGACCTTAGATTGTACGCCCCTTGAGGGTTAGGGACTGATGTGAATGTACAATATATATGTAAAGCACTGCATAAATTGACGGTGCTATATAAGTACGTGAAATAAATAAATAAATAATGGGAGACAATACAGCAACAATACAGTTCAATACAAGAGGGTTAGGAGGGCCCTGATCCTGGGAGCTTACAGTTATGTTTTGGTGCATACTGGCCAGGGAAGGAAATATCTTCAGACTTCTAGTAGAATTGATTTGATTATTTTTTTCACATTATCTTTCTTTTTTTATTTTCTCCATCCCTTTTTGTTTGTTCTTTTGTTTTAAACATTAGTAAAGTATATGACCTGGAACTGAGCGAAACTAAGAGGAGGACCAGCATGACTGGGGCATGCAGAAGAGGCAGACCTGTACAAAGGGTGGGGTGTTTATTTTTGATAAATTAATTTTGCTTACCTAGATTGGAAGGTTGAGCAATCAAGGGGTGGTCCACAGTACGAGGGGAGGGGGCAAAATCTTGTCAGAGCTTGGTCAGCACTCAAGAGGTTTCTCCCATCCTCCCTCCCCAAGATTTATTGATTTGGGGCATACATTTGTTTCTTTGTGCCTTCTGTGTACTGGTCTAAGTTGTTCCAATGTCATGGCAGCAAAAAGAAGACTTTGGGCCTTTGAAGTCAGTGATGTAGCAACATTTTGGAGCATTATGGGTTGGGTACATCTTAGGTGTCTCTTCCCAACAATAAGTTGGTAACATTGTCTTTATTGGGTTGTATTTGGAACTACGTAGGTGGAGCCACTGGGGGATGTCAGTGCCTTCAAAGACCTTGATCCAGGTTGGGAGCAATTACTGTTCTGTTAGTATATTGAATGTATTTTATGCATTGATTGCATTATTCACTAATATTGTATGTCATTCAGGTCGTTATGTTAAATAAAGGGCTGCTATGGCCATTTTTTACTTCAAAATGGAGACAGGGTATCTGCTTATTTTAGGATGGGGACATGCGTTTTTTTATTGGGGGGGGGGTTACAAGGACAGGGACAATTGAGCCTTGGTATTCTTCGAGTCCCTAAGTCATGAATTTTTCAGATAAATATGAAAAGTAGTTAGGGGGCACAAATGTGGAAGCACTGATTTGTAAAGGGGCTGTAATAGCATTTATCTGTATAAGTCTCATGTAACTTATCTCCAGCTTATGAGTGGTCCCAGTTGTCAACCATCAAACTATCTCCTGTAGTATATCTTTGACCATCTCTGACCATCTGTGACCTTCTCTCTGACCATCTCTTATAGCATCTCGTGCTTTTGGGTTCTGACCATTTCTTATAGCATGCTTATAGATTCTGACCATTTCTTATAGCAAGCTCATAGGTTCTGACCATTTCTTTTAGCATGCTTGTAGGTTCTAACCATCTCTTACATCCTGCTTTTAGGTTCTGACCATATCTTATCGCATCCTCCTAGGTTCTAACTATCTCTTATAGCATACTTATAGATGTTGACCAATTCTAACAGAATGCTCGTAGGTTCTGACCATCTCTTATATCATGCTTGTTGGTTATGACTTTTTCTTATAGCATGCTAATAGGTTCTGACATCTCCTATAGCATGTTTGCAGACTCTGACCATTTCTTATAGCATGTTCGTAGGTTTTGACTATCTCTTACAGCATGCATGTAGGGTCCAACTTTCTCCTGTTGTATGCCTGCAGTCTTTAAAAGCTTTTGTAGCATTTCATTCATGGAATATTATGTGCGCCCTTTGGTGGTGTGATTGGCCACACTTGAGGCCCCCTACATGAAGTAAGTTGGCTACCACTGATCCAAAATATAGGATTGTTACTGGCCTTCGAGAACTGATACTGATACTTTACAGGGGCGGACTGACTGACCATTTGGAAACTCGGGCACTGCCCAAGGGCCTGGGGTCAGTAGGGGGCCCTATGAAATGCCCCTGGTACCTTTTTCATAGGCTTTTTTGAGTTTGGGCAAGGACACAGGGGCCCCATGATCCCCTATTGCCCGGGGACCCCATGAGTTGTCAGTCCGCCCCTGATACTTTATTTACCTGCTAAAATTGATGGTATTGTATGATTACCAAGGTGAATTAGATTTTTTTTTCCTTTTCAAAACTCATTTCATATTTTTCAGGACCAGACCCATTTGTAAGAGTTGGTCTTGCTAGCATTGGCCAATGCTGATCAAAATAGTAACTTCACACAAACCAAGATTACTTAATGACTTTGTATTATAAATTATTATTGTTTACAGTATTTTTAATCATTTGTTGAATTCTAGTGCTACAGATCATCTGCAACCTCTTTGCAGATCCATCATATCTTCCCGCACACACTGGGTGCATGGCATTTCTTAGGGCAGGTTTCCTGATTGTCACACTGGTGAAAAAATGCCTCACCATGAACGTTGGTGCTTCATAGTCTTCATTGGAAGTAAATGTGACAGGATGACAAGGGAAATTATGGGAAAGGGATGGCATTTTGCACCCCGTAACAGGAAATAGCTACAATCATCAACGCTTGTTTTTTCTGCTGATTGTGGTTCTCTGACGCAGCAGGGGACATTTCAGACCTCTGCAGATAAACCATTGCTTCAACACAGAGTACAATGGTCTTTTTCTATACAGCATGCTGGCCGGGGACAGGCTTTTCTACGCAGGCTGTGGCTTCTTTAGATGGAAAATAAATTGTACTGTATGTGGCACCTGGAATGCATTTAGATTAATTAAGCTAAATGTTCAAGTGGGCTTTAACGTAGAGGTAGGTAGCAGACCACAGTAGAAATCTTGACCATTTACAATTGACAGCTGATGGGAGATCTCAAGACCCAATCCATTAGGTGTTTCTCCACATCCTCCAGTTGTTGTAGAATAGCAGTTGATAGAATGAGTATGTACATCATGGAATGTAGTTTGACTGAAAAAATGTGCATATCCCCTTTATTAGTGGAAATTCATGGCTCTGGGGTTGTTTTTGTTTCTACTGTAAATTGGGACACTGGTGAGCATAAAAAAGATAACATTACATTTTTTATTATTATTATTATACAGGATTTATATCACACCATCAGTTTGCTCAGCGCTTTACAATATAACGGGAGACAATACAGCAACAATACAGTTCAATACAAGAGGGTTTGGAGGGCCCTGATCCTGGGAGCTTACAATCTAAGAATTATTATTATACAGGATTTATATATATTTATATTTATATTATTATTATACAGGATTTATGGCACCAACAGTTTGCTCAGCGCTTTACAATATAACGGGAGACAATACAGCAACAATACAGTTCAATACAAAAGGGTTAGGAGGGTCCTGATCCTGAGAGCTTACACTCTAAGAGATTTAAAAACATATGCAGGTTCCTAAACTGATTCATTATCTTTACAAAACAATACAAAGCAGTTATTTGTTGGATATAATGGTATGGAAATTTTTGCAATTATTTTCATAGAAAAATTATAAAAGAAAAAAAATCATTAACTAAGTAACCGGCTTAACCTTTTTTTCTACCGGTGCGTTCAAATTGAAGGTATTGACATATTTTAAATTACATTCTGCTTGACCTTCATGCATTCATCTCTCTCCCTGTACCTCTTTAGCCGAGTCTCTAAATATAGTCGATGTTTTCAGTGTGCACAATGCTGCATTGTGGAGCTATGCAATGACTTGGCACCGCTTGCGGCCAGCTGTACATCTGCCCCTTAATTTGCTGGAGATCTCAGAAGTCTTGGCCAGTGTAACTCCAAGTCAGCAGGGGGGGAGATTTCATCCTCTCCCCTTTTTTCCCAGGCTCCAGTTCTCTTTGTTTAAGTATATGTATTAATGAAGAGGTCTCCGGTGCCTTTGGATTATTGTAAGCTCCACTTTCAGGAGTGTCTTATGGAGTTTGTTTGGTTTTCGAAACTCAAGTCAGCATGGTAATATCTGTGTATATAGAGGAGTTAGCTGTGAAAGCTTTGAATTGCGTTGGCTGCGTTATTGGTGTGGTCTGGGGCCAAGCTACATGGCGCATAATTATTTCCCATATACGGACATATGGTGTCTGCGGTGGGTGCCCACTCGGCTTTGGCTGCCGGAACAGCAGACCAACTTTGTAAGTCTTTACAGTGTTCCCGTGTTGCTGTAGTTTGAAATGTGCTGGTGAGGTGACAAATTAACACTTGTCATGGTGACTGCCTTTACTGGCATTCTTCTGAAAGTGCTAGTTGCCTGGCTATGCCTAGCTTCAGTACTGCTGAGCTACACACCCAGGAAAATCAAACAGCAAAAGGGTGTCAAAAAATGTCATATATATACAGTTGTTGTGGGTCAGTGACTCTGCAGACATTGGGACCAGGTAACTAACTTTTCAGAAGGGGAGGTCAACAATAGTAGTCTATATATTTCTCTTCTAATAATTTTTATGTAATAAAACTGCAAAAAAAAATGAATGCGTTGAGGAGAACATTTCTTAAAATGCTCTACAACTGGAATTCACCAAGCAGGAAATTGGGATTTCCCAACTTAAACATCTATTTTTCATGATCGCGAGGGTGAGATCTCTGTCACTTAGTGCCAAGATCTGCTGCTGTCAAAACATTGTGCCACTCTTTAGTTTTGATTTTGAATTCATTTTACAATAGTAGCCTACATTTTTATCTTTTAATAATTTATTTTGTAATAAAATAGGAAAAAAATGGATGCATTGATGAGAGAGGAGATTATTTCTTAAAATCCTCTACAACTGGGATTGACCAAGGAAGAAATTGGGATTTCCCGACTTAAACATCCCTTTCTTCTTATAATGGACTACGAGCAAAATTGGAGTTTCCCAAATTAACCCATAGTTTAGTTTTGTCCCTTCTCACTTATCCAATAATAATAAGACCTGGGAAAATCTCGCTGGGGGCTGTTATAGTTTCATCCCAAGTCTACCGTCCTGAAGATCCTGGAGAGTCAAAAAACTCAACATTTTCCTCTATCTCATATGATCGCGAGGGTGAGATCTCTGCCACTTAGTTCCAAGATCTTCTGCTGTCATAACACTGTGCCTCTCTTCAATTTTGATTTTGAATTCATTTTACAATAGTAGCCTACATTTTTCTCATATAATAATTTATTTTGTAATAAAATAGGAAAAAAATGGATACATTGATGAGAGAGGAGAACATTTCTTAAAATCCTCTACAACTGGGATTGACCAAGCAGGAAATTGGGGTTTCCTGACTTAAACATCCCTTTCTTCCTATAATGGACTACGAGCAAAATTGGAGTTTCGCAAATTAAACACATAGTTTAGTTTGGTTCTTTCTCACTTATCCAATAATAATAAGAGCTGGGCAAATCTCTCTGGGGGCTGTTATAGTTTCATCCCTTTAAATTTCAGTCACCTTAAGCTATTAAGTCTACCTTCCTGAAGATCCTGGAGAGTCAAAAAACTTTACATTTTCCTGTATCTTATATGATCTTGAGGGTGAAATCTCTGCCACTTAGTTCCAAGATCTGCTGCTGTCATAACATTGTGCCTCTGTTCAATTTTGATTTTGAAATTGGGATTTCCCAACTTAAACATCTATCTATCATGATCTCAAGGGTGAGATCTCTGTCACTGTCAAGATCTGCTGCTGTCAAAACACTGTGCCTCTCTTCAATTTTGATTTTTAATTCCTTTTACAATAATAGCCTACATTGTTCTCTTATAATAATTATTTTGTAATAATATAGGAAAAAATGGATGCATTGATGAGAGAGGAGAACATTTGTTAAAATCCTCTACAACTTGGATTCACCAAGCAAGAAATTGGGGTTTCCCAACTTAAACATCCCTTTCTTCCAATACTGGACTACAAGCAATTGGAGTTTCCCAAATTAAACCCATAGTTTAGTGTGGCCCCTTCTCTCTTGTCCAATAATAATAAGAGTTGGGCAAAGCTTGCTGAGGGCTGTTATAATTTCATCCCTTTAAAATTTCAGTCTACCTTAAGCTATTAGGTCTACCATCCTAAAAATCCTGGGGAGTCAGAAAACTCAACATTTTCCTCTCTCATGATCTCGAGCATGAGATCTCTGCTGTTTAAGTCCCAAGATCTGCTGCTGTCACAAGGTTGCTCCACTCTTCAATCTTGCGTTTTAATTCATTTTACAAGAGTAGCCTATACATTTCTCTTCTAATAATTGTTTTTGCAATAAAATTGGAAAAAAAATGGATGACTTGATGAGAGAGGAGAACATTTCTTAAAATATTTTACAATTGGGATTCACCACACAAGAAATTGGGGTTCCCCAACTTAAACACCCCTTTCTTCCAATATTGGACTACAAGCAAATTGGAGTCTCCCAAATTAAACCCATACTTTAGTTTTGTCCCTTCTCTTTTATCCAATAATAATATGAGTTGGGCAAAGCTTGCTGAGGGCTGTTGTAGTTTAACTCCTTTAAAATTTCAGTCTACCTTAAGCTATTAGGTCTACCATCCTAAAAATCCCGGAGAGTCAGAAAACTCAACATTTTCCTCTCTCATGATCTCGAGGGTGAGATCTCTGCCGTTTAGTCCCAAGATCTGCTGCTGTCACAAGGTTGCTCCACTCTTCAGTCTTGCGTTTTAATTCATTTTACAATAGTAGCCTATATATTTTCTCTTATAATAATTTTTTTGTAATAAAATTGGAAAAAAATGGATGACTTGATGAGAGAGGAGAACATTTCTTAAAATCTTTTACAACTGGGATTCACCACGCAAGAAATTGGGGTTTCCCAACTTAAACACCCCTTTCTTCCAATATTGGACTACAAGCAAATT